TTAATGTTCTCCTCTAATCAATTTACTTCCGGCGTTCAAGAATATCTCAAATGATATAAAGCATGCATTTGTTTCCGAGTTTGTAAAGCTACCTGCAATTAGTAAAACAATAGTAAACAAATTCAAACCACAATGTAGTTAGCTAAAACATTTAGTCTTTTTCCGTGGGATTTTGTTGGAAAAACAACTCATAGTAGCTAGTCGATCTCATAAATAATAATAATGTTACTTTTCTTCCCCACTATTAAATATGACCACGCAACTAGTGCGAAAGCCCACTTAATATTCTTCATTGTGTCGAGAAAATAGATTGAATGAAATTGATGACATATTCCTGAGTTTATTATCCGTATCGGGTGTAAAGCAGTTACCCACCGAATACAATGAAAGATGGTCGCGCAATATCGTTGAAGTTAGACATTAACATTGTTGGATGCCAGCTCAGTAGTCCATCAGTTAAGGGTTCGCGCGCAAAACCGAAGGCCCTGGTTTCGAATCCCGCGTGTTGAATCGTGGATGCACAGGGCTGCGGAGTCCCATACTAGGACGAAATGTCCTTCCAGTGCTTCCAAGTTTTCAGAGGTGATCTAGCTTAGATCAATTCATGGTTTCAATGAAATTCCACTATCTCCACAACCCCTTACTATCTATTACTAGTTATATTCATTCAAGAGTTCGAACTAGTTTGTGTTTGTATCCGATATATTTGCGGAACCATTCAATCTTTCATTGAGTAGCGACAATTTTAACGGTACTCAAAAATGATGGACGCATTGATTTGATGGTGAAATGAATAAATAAACACAGCGAAGTTCACCAAACGATGGGTTCAGATTAATGTATTAGCTGTTTAAATTATTATACACTGAATCGTGTACCAACACTTATTGTATCATTTAACCTCTCATATTACAATCTTACTTACCAATCGACTTGTTTCAAATAATAATTAACAAATTCGTCGATGGAAATTAGTTTTAATTATTAAAAAAATCTAAAAATTACTTGCATATTCAAAATCTTTTAATGATGATCTCGATACAATCTGGAGTTCACCATATAAAATGTATTTTTGCTACATTTTATGAAATCTAAGTTTTCTGAACAAAATATTTTCAATCCTTTCCATGAATTCCCAATAATTTTACATGACCATAAAACGTTTTCTCTTTTATTCGATAGCTAACGAACGAGTGTGTTGTCGTTGTGGTACACGATTTCTTGTTGATGAATATGGAAACTCTTTAACTCAGGGCGAATGCATCTACCATTGGGGTAAAGCTGTGAAACAACGAAGTAAGTAGCTAAGAATATATTCATATTGCATAAAATATACCAGTTCCTAACTGTTTAGTTCGGAGTTTGGTTTCATATTCTAATCTGGCATTACTTATCCGTTGATAATATATTTCCAGGTATTGGGGGAATCACTTCAACTCTATTTTCTTTGGATTAATCAAATAAGTAGTATTTATTTATCACTAATTCAAGAAATACAACCAAAGTCTGTGTGGAGTAGTTATGTAGGTTTAAATTATGTTATCATCGCTAGTGTGATTCTACCGTATTACCGAATTCTCTACTTGTTTGCTGAAGTTTGTGTATCATATCGATCTGCATATTGAAACAATCAGAAATTACAATTCATAAACAATTACTGTCTTAATAGTTTACGTCGGTAACTAAGCTATAAGCATGATTTCTGTTTGTTATAATATATCTAAATTAGTCATTGGAAAATTTAAATGTTAAGATCCATAATTACATTGTGTGATCTGTTTTGAGATAACTCTTCAAATTAACAAGTGGTAAATGTATGTTTTTTTATTAATTTCCACTTTCAATTAAAATCAAATTTCTGCATTCTATCTGTATTACCGTACACCGAGTTTGAAGTTTGAGAAATAGATAGAATCAGGAATCCTTTCGTTATCTCACTGTTCTTCTTTTATATCTTGTTTCATATTTCATAGTCTCATCATAATATCAGTCACTAAATGTTTATATTGGATGCAGCAATGGTAATTAGACATTTCGCAATGTGATTATCATATATATATATATATATATATATATATATACTTATGTTTGTCATTTCACAGCAGTACCCACTGATGTTGCAATATTTGTAATTCCAGGAAATCTGGTCTAAGCTCTATTCAATTTTTCAAATAATGATTTCAGTGTGTTATTCTCTCTCTCTCTCTTCCCACTTAATCATTGAGGCCTCAAATGACGGGAAAAACATATCTTCAAGGTTCCAAATGATTTTTTTGATAAATTCCCATAAAACATACCTAGATCTGTGACTTATTATTTTCATCTGACCAGGGTATACTGTATACGCATAGCATTGTTTGACTATTTAGCCAAATTAGACTCAGATAGTTTAGTTCTCTCAGTTAAAATGTGTCACATTTAGTCTCTAAATCTTCATACTTTGCTTTCTTCAGGAACATATAAATTATTTACCAGCGAAATATTGAATTACATATGTATATTATGTAATTAAGTGTATTTCTTTTCATAGTTTGGCTCTATTTCCTTTCGTCTACTTGTAATAATTTGATACATATCATGGGACTAACACGTGATGATTATTTGATTAATAGCATGGCATAAAACAATTTGATGTAGTTTTCTACCCTATCAACTTAAAATGCAAATAGATTTTTGTGAAAGTGTTCCGAAGTTATGCATTTTTTATCATTATTATCCCCAAATATAAATATTTGACATCTGTGAACAAGGTTTGAGCGTAATTGTCAATTTAATGATCAATGATTCTAGTTTTCTTTCCAATTATGAAAGAGGCAATGAAAAAGTGCATGAGGCCTCTTGACACTTTTTAAAACAGTAAGATATCGAAACTAATTACTGAAATTAAAACCTTACCTCTCACAAAACATATATAAATAAATAACACTCATGGAGTACATACGTTACGTAATAATTATATGATGACATCGATTATAAACTAACATTAATTGGAAGAGAAGGATTAATACTAATCAAAGTTATTATTTAATAATATCCACCCATCAATTACGTTTACACTAGAAGAAGAACAGAATGGTAGTATATCGTTTTTAGATGTCCAACTAACCAGAAGAGTAGATGGAACATTAAAAAGAGGATTACATAGAAAATCTACAGTTGGACAGTACACTCATTTCTATAGCGCAGTACCAATGAAATACAAAAGAAACCTAATAAAGATTCTAACTCATCGTGCTAGAATGATTTGCTCTGATGACATTATTTTAGATGAATTGGTTAATATTCGAAACTTGCTTAGTAAGAATGGGTACCCAATGAAATTCATCGATAAACACATGACGGAGACGAAAAGAAGGACAAGGGTATCTACTGTTCCAAAGAAGGTACTGTTCCTAAAGTTACAATTCTTAAATGATGCTACGGAAGAAATCTTGACACAGAGGTTAAGAAGGGCAGTACAGAAAACATTTAATGCAGCCCGACTTAGTACCGTCTTCTACAACCGCCCCACAATAAGAACTGTTAATAAAAACAAATTGCCTGAATTCGCCACATCTATGTGTATTTACCAATTCAACTGCTCCTGTGGAGCCAGTTATATAGGGCGTACAATTCGGCAAGTTCGTCAACGAATAACAGAACACCATCCGTCGTGATTGACCAAAGGACAAGTAAAGGAGATTAAGAGTTCTATTCTCGCTCATTTGGTGGACACAAGTCATCAGGTTGAACTGAATAAAGCTTTTAAGGTTATCTACCATATTCCATCAAATTTGCCACATGGTTTACAAGCTCGTCTATTGCACATAGCTGAAGCCATCGCAATTCATATTCACAAAACGAAACTTTGTATCCAAAAGAAGTTTGTACAACCACTCTCGCTACCTTGGCCATCGGTATAGCGTAGTTTGTAGCATAATTTCGGTAAACAATTATCTTATTCCTTCCAATTTTGTATTTTACTTATTCTCTTCATTCTTACATAACTACTATATTACTGACCATTCATCAAAATATTTTGTTAGTTCTTTCTTCTCTTTTTTATATATTATGCAACGTAGCAACTGATTGACTTTCGAAGAAAAATTTCTTTTCGACGAAATCATTTACTTAAGCTGTGCATTCGTATATATAGTTAAATGGAAAATATATGTCTATTGGAGGCTAGAAAAGATTGCATTATAAATTGATTCGACAATAAATAACAAATGAGGTTACGTACAAATCAAGGGGTAAGGAAGAAAATAATTTATGGGTCAGATAATAGTTCAATTGACAGATATGAAGAAAGGGGATTTGTGGAGTTTTCAGTATTTTTCAAAGTTGAAATCATGAGTCAATTGAAGCTAGACCACCATCGAAAACCTGGAAGCACTGGACGGCCGTTTCGTCCTACTATGGGTAGGTCCTGGGTTCGAATCCCGCGAGAGTGGGTTCGTGGATGCGCACTGCTGAGGAGTCCCATAGTAGGACGAAACGGCCGTCCAGTGCTTCCAGGTTTTCAATGGTGGTCTGGCTTCAATTGACTCATGATTTCAACTTTGAAAGATATGAAGAAAAGCGACAAACACAAAGGTCATAATAATAATAATCTGAGTAATAATCAAGTAAACTTGTAGAAAGTAATAATAATAATTGATTAGAGTTAAAAATACAAGACAGTAATTAAAAAAAAACAAAAAACCGATAATAATCAGATAAAAGTACAGAAAAAAACGTACCCAATGAGGGAATTAGGGCCAAGGAAGGGTAAGAGGTTGGACAAATCGTTTCTGCACGCAAAGTTCAGGCTCGAATTCATGGATTGCCAATGCCTCAGCAGTGCATAAAATATTGATTCGACCTCCCTTTGATCCGGTTCCTTTAACTCTATAGATTATTTTAAAAGACGTGTCTTTTGGAGCAATGTGTCTACAATTGATCAAATGCCCTTGTATCGAACTAGTAATCCTTTTACATTCACCTTTTAGGAGCCAAGCTGGATAGTGTTCAGAGAAACGTTTGGAAAGCGATCGCTTTGTGCGACCTATATAACGTGCTCCTCATGAGCAAGTAAATTTAAAGATATACATTGATGTGGCCCATAGCGAAGGTTTATCCTTAACACACCCCAGAATGGTAGGCTGGCTAGAGAAAATAATTCGAAGCTTAGCTGCGTAAAATATTTTATTCAACGATTTTGAAATCCGTTTATTCAGGATTTCAGCAGCTATGAATCCTTTAAATTCCATATTCATAAACAAAGTTTTCTTCTGCACTGTAGAAGCTTTTTCCTGATGAAGTCCAGGTGTTAAGTTGCTATCGACGAACCTAGGTGGATAACCATTTTTGATGAGGGTCTGTTGAAGATTAAATAGTTCTTCATTTATTGTGTCATTGGAACAGATTCGCTTGATCCTAGAGGATAAAGAGTGAATTAAGTTCTTCTTTCGACTCAATGGGTCCCAACTATGGAAATTCGTGTATTGTCCATTCCAAGTAGGTTTTCTATACATAGATCTCTGTAAATAACCATCAGGCATTCTATTTAAACGGACACCAAGAAAATGTAATTCATGGTTGGCTTCTGCTTCTAAGGTAAATTGTATTGACGGGTGAAAATTATCGAAAATATTCAAGATTTCATTGAGGTCCATGTCTTCACAAATAATGAAAGTATCATCCATATATCTCTTATAGAAATGAAATTTCTCGATTACTGGACGAAGTGCTGAATTTTCTAGATTGGCCATAAAACAATCAGACAAAAGAGGACCTAATGGAGAGCCCATTGCAACTCCATCTGTTTGTCTATAGAAACCATCATTAAATTTAAATTGCACGTTGAGTATACATCGTAGAAGTGGTTCTTTCAGATAGTGTTTTGGGATACATATCTCCAGATTATAGTCAAATAATAAACAAATAGTTTCTGTGAGAGGAACATTTGTAAAAAGTGACATCTCATGAGAGCATTTTCTTACCCATTACGTTGATATTTCTGATTGAGTCGACAAATTCAAAGGAATCAAGAGAATTGTATTTATTGATATGGCTTTTAATATGTTGTAAAATGTCAACTAACCATTTAGCAATATATATATATATATATATATATATATATATATATATATATATATATAGCATATATAAATCTCGTTCAAATACTACATTTTTGACAAACCAAACCCCTCTACCTGAACTAACACCTATAGTTTGGTTGTGGTTGGTAAGCTTGTCATTTCTAAGAACTAAGTTATCATAACTGTTATTGCTACTGAAAACAAAAGCGTTGTTCGGGGCAGATTTTCTGTAGATATATGTGGAGTTAGGAGAAAAGAGTGGGGAGTAACTAAGATCTGTTTTGCTTAGTTACTTCGTGTTACCAATCCCGCCTACTTTAGCTGCCTGTGTATTGATCACTCTTTTTAAAATTTGGTTGTTAACAGGTTTATGACGAATAAGGTAATACTTAGTAAGCTAGATACTGAATAAAGTACTTGTACATGATGTATCCATTTGTACTAAGACAGACTGATCTCAACATGAGTGCGTGGTTGATAATCTTGTGTAGGTAAATAATAATCTGCTACTTGAATATAACTTACTATGTAAGCTTGAGTCATTACCTTAATCAATATTAATAAAAGATTCTACTTTTGCTATAGAAATTCTAAAATTCCCAGATCTGTGCAACAATGTTCTTATTTACGAATACCTATTTTTCAAACTTGCATAGTCAAGACACAACCGCATTTCTTCAAATACAACAGTTCTACATGTGGTTATTTTAATGGGTATATGGCTACTAACTTTTACTGTTTGTCAAATTCATATTAAACTAATGAGATTGTCTTCGCATGTCTACCTTATGGTTTTGTTAAAATAAATGAATCTTCAGGGGTTTGTTTAAAATCCATCTGTTTAGAAAGGGAGTTAGCAGTTCGCCCTAAATAGTGTAATTATGCTTACTAAAAACTAGTACATACTAATAACCCATTCAATCTACCACTCATTATCTTTATTTTAATATTTGTCTGTTTAATTCAACTTACTTCCTAAAAATCATTAATTCCAAGATTATCTACTGTTTTAAAAAAAGTAGATCTTGGAGTTTCATTGAAAACCTACAAAGAATTGCTTCTAGTAACTTGGTCTTTAGCCTCTTTGGTTATTAATCCATATATAATTGAAATCGTCAGTGACATAAGGTAAAAAATGGCTAATTTTAAATTGTTATATACCTTAAGTAGTTATAAAATGCGTTATTAGTGTATTCGACGGGTCGTATAGGAAAAGGGGTGAGAAAAATTAACTATAAAGTTATGGTTTGGAATGAAATTTTCATTGAAGATTACACTTTTCTGTGCCAGCATTTACCTATAAAAATGAATGACAAAGTGGCAGAAAATACTGGATTCCGCATGCTCATTAAACTTTGAAAGATGGATGGATAATCTTGTACAGTTTTAACATATTCCTTTCGTTTTTCCTTTAACAGATTTTCAAAGTATGAAATTGAAGTACACCTACTTTCTCATCTTGTTCGATAATTATGTAGTTATTTCGATGTTTCACTACTTGATTTTCTTGCTGTTTACAATGATGTTGACAGCTTTATGTTATCAAATTGTTAGATTTATTATGGTAATAAATATAAACGCCCTAATACATGTTTATGTCATGCGAAATAGGTTATTCAAACTTCATTTTTCATAATGTGATGTGAAATGAAGCGAAAAAGAAAGACGATGTTAATAGTTTACTGTAGTCAACAATTTATTTCACTTTCATGTAAATAGTTATGCATGTATTTCGTTATTTATATCTCTATCGCTAAGTTGATCGAAAGGAAAACTATTAAGTATACGATAGATCATTTTTAAATTATTTATTTCTATGTAATATATGACCGCTAGCGATCAGATGTGATAGAACTGAGCTGCGTATTGTTTTGATAATACCCTTTTCTAATCACGAATGGAGGTGTTCACTAACCAGTTGGGTCAGTTGTCTGATTGCACGTCCACTGTAGATGTCTCCACAAGAGCAGCTGCATTCGTAGTTGCACATGGATATGGCGAAACCAGGTAACTTACCCTTTAGTCGAGGAATCACCATAGGTCGGCTGGAAAATGATAGACAGGGGTTAGCTGTATTAAACATACTCTTCATAGCTTTAGTCAGTCTGTCTCGCAGTAAGTCACTAGCTACATCTCCGTTGAATTGTAGTTTATGGGCTTCAATCTCGTCTCTTGCAATTAGCAGAAGCTCTAAAAATTCGAGCTTAAAACCCCAGTCTTTGTGTTCATAGGAAATTTGTAACATACTAATCTCTCCCTTGACCGAATTAGCTCTAATAAAAGATCTTATTATTATTCTCCATGACTTTTTTCGTTTATTTTCTTCACCCCCTTTTTTCAAATATATGCTTCACTATCCAATTATCTGAACACTTCTTACCACTTAATTTTATAATGGATACTATTTCAGTGTCTATTTTTTCAAGTCGTTAACCTACTTCCTATCATAAAACATTGATTTAAGCTTCTGTTATTCGTAATAAAACGAGTACACTATCAAATTATACCTTTTACTTATTAAGTTTATTTGGATAATCTGCTTCATCGTTATCAATGACTCATAAACTGTCTTGATTGGTTTAATAATTTCGTATATGGATATAAATATTACTGTATATTAGAGTAAAGCCTCATGAGGATCTAATTAAAAACAATGTTGTTCTCTTATATGTGTTGTTCTAATTGATAAGTAACAAATGTATCGTTTTTCATATTAGTAATGTTGGATCCGAAGAAGGTAAAACGAATGGTTATCTTATGTCCTATGCCGATGTCAAATATCACGTGGCAAAACCGCCAATCATAATACCGGCTTCTATGACATTGTCCCCGTGATAAATCAATGATACACATCAGTTAATTCCAATTGATTAAAAAGTATCTTATATTTATTCAGCTGTTTAATGTTTACCAACACAATTTGTGCATTTATTTTGCAGTTACTTCTGATAGTTTTTTCTCCGGTTAACGGTATACTGTAGTAGAGTTACTTTTAATTGAAACTGCAGACATGATCTTTCCTGTGAATTGTAATGGTTTTAACCTTAGCCGCATACTTTCATAAAAACGATTTGGTAGTATGCTCTTCATATATTTCTATACGGTTGATTTTTCTGATAGAATAATTTTGTTTTGACCACTCTCTCATTGTTCACCAATTTAATTTTATATGACATACATCCATTAATTTTAGGTCAATAGATTAGATAAGTTAAATATTGAGATTCTAGATTTCCTCTTTTTTTACAGAGTTTTATTCACTCATTCAGTTTTTTTCCTATTTCTAATTGTCCCTATGAGTTTAGTACATAACAAGGTGGGTAGTTCTTGTTCCTCTTAGTTGAATGTGAGTTTCATTAGTTTAATAAGAAATACTTAGTTTTTTACCATAAATTTCAGTATTGTCATTCGTATTTCCTCTCTTTGAGATAGTATATATGTTTTCACTTATTAAACACATAATTTTATTTGAAGTTGAAATATTCTACTAGCATTCTACTAGTATTATTGTCATAGTGTAGTGAATGAAAACACGTGTGGGGACAATCGAATGTATTTAAGCACAAATTATAGACTATCTTACTAAATTCTGATAACTATACAGCAAACAGTTAATTTGCAAAATAACAACCAATTGTCTCAATCTTCACTGTTCTTTCTGTAAATATCAGTTCATCTTCTTCAATTTCATTGTTAATGCATTTTCCTACAAATTGCGCTTCATTTCAGTTCTTATCTTATCGGTAGTCTGCCAAAATACATTCTATGTCTGACCATTACCATTACTTATGTGGACATAAGTAGCCCACACCACAGTAGGACTAAACTAATAAATATGTTTTAATTTTGTTTGCTTATGTAGATCTTTTATAAAACCACGTGAAAATTTATTCATCTTAAAAACAGTTTTCACACTTTTATTTTTCATTCAGTGATTATTATTTCTTTATTTTTTTTCTAAATATTGCGTTTCTTTTCGTAAGTTCTATGTATTTAATTAATATACATTCTTACTTTGGATGAATATACTATTGTAGTGAACAAATACATGAGTATGGACAACCGAATGTATTTAGGTACAAATTACAGACTATCTCATTAAAATCTGATAACCATACAGTAAATAGTTGATTTGTAAAATAACAATTAATTGTCTCATTCTTAACCGTCCCTTCTGCAAATATCAGTTCATAGTCTTTGATTATTATTGTACATGCATTTTTATACCTACTGCGCTTCGTCCCTGTTCTTTCCTTATTGATCTTCTGCCAAAATACATTATTTGCCTCACCATCACTATATACTACTTATGTGAATATAAGTAACCCACAGTACACTATCACGACTTCATGCCATATTGTTGAAATTAGTGATCCTAAGTATACATTTTATTAATATTTATTACTGTCACTATGGATTTAAAATCTGTCACTTCACTTCTATTGAGATGACGGTTTATTGGCTAAAACTATTGATGTCCAACCACTGAATTCCAAGTTTTAATCCTTCCACGCCAACTTATAGTCTAGATAGCCAAATGGAGTATGGTAATAAACTCTTATATAAAAAATTATCATTCAAAGTCCAGTGCACAAACTTTTACTAGGTAAATAGAATCACCTTACTTCACTTTTCACACATGTTCATGTTTTGTGTGTATATGATTTCTTCTAATCACTGATTTTTCCTTCCTACAGGTTTTGGCCAAGGATTTGATTTACGATATTTATGTTGTAATGGTGATATTGGTCAACCAGGTTGCCAAATCTGTTCGAAAGGTCATGTTCACGACGCTAATAAATGGTTAGATAATGAAGGTTTTGTTATTACATTGCCACCACTTCCAAAATCACAAGAACATGATGAAGATAATGATAATAATTCAAGTTGTAATGTATACGCTCTTGATTGTGAAATGGTTTATACAACTGGTGGTTGTGAACTAGCTAGAATTACTATTATCAATTCAAAACTTCAAGTTATTCTCGATGAATTTGTTTGTCCAGACCATCCAATTATTGATTGTAATTCACGTTTTTCTGGTTTAAAATTAGAAGATATAGAACAGGCAAAATATCATATTACTGATATTCAAGCAAAATTATTGCATTTATTCGATTCGGATACAATATTAATTGGTCATAGTTTAGAAAGTGATTTAACTGCTCTCAAATTGATACATAAGAAAGTCGTCGATACGTCTATTGTATTCCCGCATCGTTTAGGTTTACCAAAGAAACGAGCTTTAAGGAATTTAGTTAGTGAAATACTTCAACAAATTATACAACAAGATGGTAAGTAGTTTTATTGGTTTATGTATTCAAAATAACTCAATGCCATTGAATAAGAAAAAGAGAATTCAGCGAAGAAAATTTTCTTTTCGACGAAATCATTTACTTAAGCTGTACATTCGTATATATATATTTATATGGAAAATATATGTCTATAGAAGGCTAGAAAAGATTGCATTATAAATTGATCCGACAATGAATCGCAAATGAGGTTACGTACTAATCAAGGGGTAAGGAAGAAAATAATTTATGGGTCAGATAATAGTTCAATTGACAGATATGAAGAAAAAGCGACAAACATAAAGGTTAAAAATGCAACGAATAACATAAATCTTACTGAGTTTGACTTGTTCATAATCTGCCTTACGTTAATATTCATTTACTATAAAATAACTACTAGATACGGTCCTGTAGCACGAATACATTGTAATATTATTAGACTACTGAGGTTTACTGTGACCAATGACACTTAAACCGATAACAATTAATTAGTCTTGTGCAACACCAGTGATAATTTTTATTCCATGTGATCTTTGATGTAGCTTTCCTCTAGTTCAGTATCTAGTTGGAACGCGAACTTAGTAACGAAATATAATTTCTATTATACACGTATTCGTTATGAATCAACACCCATGATAATATATATCATACACCTGGACACAGCAATTTTAATGTGTGAATTACTGTGCCATAAGCGAAGGAAAATTAAGTTATGGGTTTGTAATCAATGAATACTGAATTAGGGAAGTGTGGTGTTTGTGTATAATAATGATTGTTGTATACATCATTGATCTCTGAATTCAAATTACGATATGATACCCTAAACTATTATCACTATATTCTATCTTACTTAAGTGCTGGTTCGTTTATGACCACTAAAGTGTGTATTGAACAGATTAGTGAATTAATAGTTCATACATTGCATTCATTCATACAGTACGAGGAATATAAAAATATGATCACTGAAAAAATTTAATAACTATGCAATAAAAATATAAAAGTACTTCCCGTAGAATCAAATTATATTTAAAGTGGATTGGAATATCCCATTGTTGATATTTTGACTGAAATTTGGTCAGCTTTGGTTGGCATCCATTTGTTCTATATCAACGTGTGTCATAATGACTATATTGAGGCAATCAGCACAGGTTGCCTATAACAATAGGATAACCTAAGCCATTTCAAATTGAATTAAATTTCAAACCGGTCACACAAGTTGATGGTAATCTGGAGTCAGTAGCTAAGTGGGTAGCGCGATGCCATTTGCAACAAATGGTCGAATCCTGTGATGAACATCAATTCTAGGATACAGGTAAGTCCAGCTGGCAAGTCCCAAATAGGATGAAATGCTCGTCATGGATTCCTACAGGATAATTCGAAAAGTTTATTCGTTCCCAAATCTATTCGGATATTATAATAATATTAGTGATAAAATTTTGAATGAAATTATGATTCAATTGTATGGTGTATTGTATTTACAGAATAAGGTATCATGTTTTTATTTACTTAACAATTGTAGATACATATTTCATGGTATTAATGTAAATGTTTTATTTTCATTACTTTTAATGAAGAGAATGGTCACAACAGTATGGAGGATGCTATTGCCTGTATGCAACTTGTTCAACACAAAGTCAAAGAAGATTTACGTCGTGGAAAGTGGAATTTCTCTTAATAAAATTTATCTGTGATTATACAATCAAATATAAAAACATGTTTTGTTTCATTCAATTTTCTTATTACCTTTCAAAAAAATTTATGCACTAAACTTTTCTATATAAAAAAAGACTTACTAGTCATATTTGTTATTGTAAATATTCCCTATGATGAGTCTGTAGGTAGGTTAATATAAATACTGATTTTATACTTGAAAAAACGAATTATCCTTCCCATTCCCTATTGGGTTTTATTTCTTTTTATAATGTACTCTTCAAGTCAATTCACACTGTGATCTCTAACAATTAGGTGAATCCTCTTTGATTAGTTTATTTTATTACATCGTTTAACAAAATTTATTAGTTCTAACCAAGTGAGTTACCACGTCTTTGATGGTGAAATGTAACTTTAAACAATACTCTGTTGGAACTATAATTAGTTCATACGAATATCCGACAAGATTAAAACGAATAGTTTGACAAAAATTGGGCGCCAAGTATAGAGAAGTCATTATATTTGAAAATCTATTGTAGTGAACAGAACACGATTGGGGACAATCGAATGTATTTAAGCAAAGAATACAGACTATCTCAGTAAATTCTGATAACCAAACAATGAACAGTCAATTTGCAAATTAACAACCAATTGTTTCAATCTTCAATGTTTCTTCTCTTATTCCATTGCTCATGCATTTTCCAAACGATTGCGCTTCATTTCAGTTCTTTACTCATCGGTCTTCTGCCAAAATACATTCTATGTCTGACCCACACCATATACTACTTATATGGATATAAGTAGACCACACTATACTGTGTTAAAACGTTATATATTTCTTTGATGATTTTGATTATTACCCTGAAGAAGTCCAGACAAATTTTCTGAACGGAACGTTGGAATTATTTTAAAATTCAATCGCCTAGATTATTCCAAATATAATCTTGAAATATAATTAGCTAATTTGATAGATTTCACGTTTTGACCTCCTCTAGTCGTAGCTCACTGGAATGTATTAGATTACTGAATGGATGTTTTTCACAGAAGAGAGGTGTTATAACAATTATTTATATTCAAAATATCTAACATAGTATGAGTTAATTGTCATTTAACTCATGAATAATCTAGGATGAATGTTTTAAAACAACCAGCGGTTGTTCACTTTTGTCTTTCGTTAAAAACTCTTGTTGATATATACAATTCAAGATAGATACTACTTGGGTGATTAGTTTGTCAAGACTAGGTTGTTGTACATTTGAAGCCAGTCATCTTTAATTAATGGAACTAAATCTACGAAATCCTAGTGTTATGTAAGACTCAACATTCAGCATTACACTTTAATGTTGCCTAAACAAAACGTACTTAAGTGTATATATTTGATTATAAGGGCGATTTAATGTAATCTTTTAGTCGAAGTCACCGTTATTTGAAAGGTTGGCCCAAGTACTTAAATTTTCTACTTATGCTAACATTAACCGACATTTATGTAAGCAGTATTTGACAAAAGTCACTTTATGGAATGATATGAATAATAATGCTCACAGCAGAACTTAATATAGCGAAGTCCATCAGTTTCTCTGTGCTAGTAGCCTTTTTTAAAATAAATTCACTTGTGTGACCCATCAACTAGTGTTTTGTTGATAATAACTCTTCATCCTTACGATGCTCTGTAACCCGATAGGTTAATTGACTAATCAGTAGTTAGTTTCCTTCAATAAAACTTAATCTCTTGTCAATGTGAAACAAATATGTAAAACCGGTGTATTGCGGAGAATTGTATGTGTAGGGATGTTGGAAAAAATAACGAGCACGAAGACCAATAACAAGAAATGATATGTTCGATTGCGACCGCAGGTGAATTGACACCTTCAATTACTGAGGCTTGAACAAGCTAGTCACGAGAGCTTTGCATAACTGACCAATTTATATTATTTTGGTTTAACGTTATACGGAATTCTAAATAAATATTTTAGTGATGTAATGTGATCAGATGAATTCACTTGTTCAGGAGTATTACTGTTAATTTATTTATATAACTTATATTAGCTGGTTGATGAGTCTACGAATTTCTAGTTTCTGATACCACGTACACCCAACCACCGTCTAACTCAACCCACAATGTCTGGGATAGGAAAAAGTTGAAAGGTAGGAGCAACCAGACAAGGACAGGATCAATCTACAAAATCATTATCTGTCACTCCAAGTCGTTTTTACCTGATTGAGGTCAGTGATTGGAAACGTTGAGTGACGTGGTTAAAAATTGGTCACAGAAGCTTTAACTTACCTTCGGTTTTGTCTCGGTATAATTTCACTTTTTATTTTATCCATTCTCGGATCATACTCCTACTACCATTGGTACCACTATAATTCCGGAACCTTTACAACTCGTCTCGCTATGTTGGTGTGATTTGGCAATTTAAGTCGATGCTTGTTTATTGTGTTGGTTATGACTGATTGGCCGGGTAAATGGAATTTTGTCCAAGTAAATTTTGAACAACTGCTATTTCTGACTCCGCAGAAAGATTCTAATAGTTTAAGATGAAATAAATGTTCATAGGAAGTTGGTAGACCATACATAGTACGTACCAATGCATGTGAAGTTATATTTGATTGTACCGGTCATCAGCGAATGTGCAAAGCTGATAAAACAGAGAAGACATTATGAGGGCACTGAAAATTGATAAGTGAGAGGATTATTATCATTATATGAACGGATTTAGGCATATGAATTGACAATAAATGCGATTTTCTCGGTACCTTACTCCCTACTGAGCTGTGGAATATGAAACAACAGCACCTGACCTGTGGATTATTATTCACCAAAAGTACCACTACATACATTTTAAACGTAAAATTCTGACAACCAGCGGAACAATAATTGATCTGAAAAAAGCAGAAAATACGTAAATATTCAATCACCGCAACAGACTAATATAGTGTCCATTAACAAGACTAAACATGATACAGACAGTTCGAAAGTAGTTTACATGACTTAAAAACCGTCAAGCGTTCAACGAAATGCCAAAGGGTATACCGAACGAGGCTATCACATACTGCAGGAAGTCCATGTGGACAGAGCAGTGTTCTAATCGTCACATTTACTAACCTAGTGCCATACAAACGAGGCTTGGTGGATAAACTATCCGATATAATCAAATGCAAATGAAATAAAAGAGCCATTTCAGGGAAAAATAAATAATGTGACTGAATAGATATATGTTAAGATTTATGAGCCGGTAGAGAACCGTAAACCTTGAGATCTAGTCCCGTCTAACACATTTATCTTAGATTGAAAAGTGGTCAGATAATGTGACCTGACTTAGCCACTATACAATTTTGCTTACAACTGAACCACCTAGCTATGCAGAGGGAGACGACGAAAACTGTGCAGGATTCTGTGTTGTCTGATTCCAAATAATAATATGACACGCTTACTTATGGGTGGACGAACCATCTAAGATAAGGAATAGGTGAATTATCTTCTTACAATAAATCCCTCACTCTTGAGATATATGAATTCTCTGGGTAGGCTAAACATAACACCCAAACACTATATAGGCGATTAGATTATATATGGCTGTGTTAATCAGTTTATGTGTGTGTAGATACACATCGAGTGGAGAAACCGTAATATCCTATACGTTATGACTGCATATGTAACTAAACGGTAGGAAAACTAATGAATAAATTGTAAATTTGTTGTGATCCTTGTCCATCGCAAACTTCTTTAATAAGTGTATTTGAAGACAATGTATAAAATGATAGGAAGAATAGCATTAAGCTATCATTATGAGTCGTGCGATTTTCTTAGACTGTTCTAACGTGTTGAATCTACCCAAAACATACCCGGCAGATAAATTATTAATACTGTATAAAACATGTTCAGTCACCCAATCAAACGTCGACAAGTACCCATTTCACGTTATCACCATCTGTGCTTATAGATTTACATGTACCTGCTAAAATAGATTAGTCGAACAGGAGGCCACATCTTAGTTTTTTGAACATGTCCCAAAAAACCTTCGAACAAGAGAGAACTATTTTAAACAGCATAATTACGGCCTATTTCAGAATTCACCATACTACCAAATCGTCCAATGTTTTGGCTGAAAAATTGGAACCAGTTAGAAGGCAATTATCTAAATATTCTATTCATGATACTTTTCAATTTATTGATCGTAATAAGGACGTCAATATTTAAGGAAAACACATGTTCTTACTGGACGTTAACTCTTTGTCCATTAACGTAGGTCGTAACGGTAAACCAGGTTTATGTACTTTCTGTAGTCCATAAAAGCGCGGGATGATTAGACCCATTGGACGTATGTGATCATATAAATCTGGGGTTATTATCTCCTTATTCTCACGATTTCTAACAACATCCGTTGGTCTTTTTCCGATTTGCAGTGTTTTATTTACTTCTCCTTTGGGTTTTGAAAATTTAGTAACATGGATACACTAATATACAATGTAGTAAGAATAACTTATTAACTATGAACTATTTGGATTAACTAATGCTCCAGAAAAGAAATAAGGGTTTAATCCCAAGTAAACCTGACAAAGGAGCTGGTGTGGTGCTACTTGACCGCCAAGAATATTAGGATAAAATGAAGTTTATCCTAGAGGGGTCTCCATTGGGTCCAATATTAGCAGACTGTTTCGTGGCAAAACTAGAAAACGATCGACTCATTTCAATGATTAATCGACTTCACTTATACGTAAGATACATGGAAGACACATTTGTCGTTTGTGACAATAATATTAAATTAGAGGGTATCTTGCCTTCAACTCATGTCACCCTTTTATAGACTTCACTTTAGAAAGTGTACAAGACGTCTGATGAGGAGTAATGGTTCCTTAAAAAGATCCACCTTTGGAAAACAAACATGGAATGGCCAGTTGACCAACTCCTATAGCTGGGTTCCTTTAAGTAGAAAGAGAAATCTCATCCACTCTTTATGTCATCGGATATGCAGTACGGAATGCACTGAAGGACCCACATTCCACAGGAAAACCTTGATGGAAAATGGCTACCCAGACTGTTTCATAGAGAAGAATATGAATAAAAGCAGGTATGACAAGAAATTTAGTTGCTCCATCCCAAAGAAAAATCTCTATATAAGTCTGGAGTTCAAAGGTGATCGAACATCTGGCGTAATCAAAAATCGTTTAACGACAGCGATCAAAAGAATATTTAATACAGCAAACTGTGAATAACCTTCACTAGTAGGAACTTTCTGTATCCATAAAAGATAAGCTCCCGTGTCTGGTCGTCTTCATGTGCATCTACCAGTTCACGTGCTCTTTTAGAGCAAGGTACATTGGCCGTAACCAGCGCTCGCTTTCGACTAGGATACGTGGACATGTCCCAGTTTGGTTCTATAAGGGTGAAAGGAAAGTAGTTAGGAGCTCTACACTTGAACACCTAATCGACTGTAATCAATCTACGGATCCACAGTTTGATCTTAAGGTTAACATGATTCGTTCAAATCTACCTAGATTTCTTCGGATCCAACTCCTAAAAATAGCCGAAGCTTTTACTATTTCATGAGCTTAAACCAAAACTATGCATACAAAAGATGTATACCCTGTCGTTACCGTTACCTTAATTAATATTATTTTATCATCATTATTACTGCGTTCCCTTTTACTTGTCTCATTATTTTATTCATAAATGTTCATCACCTTATTTATTTTTATACTTCTATGACCTTTAATTATTGTAACTAAAAGCGTTTTAATCATCTTAATATATTCACTAAACATATTGTTATTATTAGTGTTACGTAATCTAGTATTATAATCTTTCTATTACGTCATCCTGGTTGTTAGTGTTCACATGTCCTCACGGAATTAGTACTTTGACAAAGAAATTCTTCGTATATATACGATTGTACAGTTTGATAATAAATTCGTTGAAAAGAGATCCTTTCTCTGAACTTTTTGTTTTTAATTTTTAGCTTTACTCTTTTTATTCTTACGTACTATCAGAGCTTATTCGTTACGTTTCTAGCCCTTTGGACTTCTGTTACTGTCGTAGAATGTTTTTTCACATAATATATGTAGTCACAGTTGTTATGATTTCTCTTATTACGACCCAGATATTCCTATTGCTTAGTATTCTTGGACACCAATTCACTCAACAAGTCCCTAAATGAGAACACTATTGAACAGGAACGAAATTATGTTCCAAATAACAAAGGTAGATGAAAGTAGGAATTCCAATAAGAAAAACGTTAGTATATTTATGGTTTTTCAGTCTTCTCCAAAAATCTACTAGCGCTGATCGGTTAAGTAATAGCCAATCAGCGTGCACCAACATAGTCATGTACAGAACGTGCCTCAATTCAATGTATATTCTGCTAATAACAGAGCATCCAAATGCCCTGGTACGGCCGAGAGTGGGGAGAGTCCGCTCTCCCTCTCGAAATGCTTTCATATGGCCAGCGAATATATAGCCTCTGCCACACAAGTCCTACTCACTGCCTTCTCGTGGAGGGGGTGTTGTTTACCAAACTGAGAGGACGAAAAGCGAATGTTCGGCGCTTTAACCGGGCCAGTGGACACAGAAAGTTCACCTAGGGGAGTTGGAAAACCCTGATTCCAAACCAGTGGTGCACATGGGCTCCAGTATCCTGAGGGAACAAATGGCGTACGAATCAACCGTTGATCACCGGCTACCATTGGACTGCATCTCCTCACGATCCTCCACTGCCTTGTGGATCAGACATTCAGGTCAAAGGCTCGGGGTGTGGCTCCCTAAGAAAACCACCTGCTTCAGTCTGGGCACCTGGGCAGTATCACAGCCCTCACACAAATCGAATGAGATTTGTGAGGCGCATATTTTATCTGGTGCTTCCTTGTACCAATATTTATGTGTTTAAATAAATAAAATAAATAGTATTCTATTCAGTCTATTGAATTTATTTACACCCTTGCCATACTATACTGACGTGTCTTCAAAGTAACTTCCAACTAAACTCTTTCATATATGCAATTATAGTTTTTAAACGTCGCAGGTTGTAAGCAGCTGATGAGAATCAAACGAAATTGAAATGAATTCATGCTATTCTGCTCAAATCTTTGTTCATGTTATCTTACAAGTACTACCGTTGACAGCAACAAATAGACTAAATAACACACAGGACAACAGAATGAGTCTGATGACAGGCACCGAGAACAAACATGTGAAGACGTCTAGACACATTTCAGTAGCATGAATACAGTTTACATATAGCATACTAAATCTTCACATACTAGGGACTGATCACAAACTCAGAGAGAATCTGCCATCGTGTCATAGAACGACAGCAGAATATGTTGGTATTCACGTTTCTGGAACTTATTAGAAGAGATTGTTTGGATGTCGTCTTGTAGAGCAGAACCAAACCGTAAGTGTCTTTTTGAGCGACGATATATAAAAAAAAAGAAATGAAAGATTCCATAAGCAAATTTTCCGGTATTCATGCATCATATGATTATACTTTATTTTACACTGTTTAATTGTCATATTACTTTGAAGATGCATCTATTGATAATTCAAATTACAGGCAACATTTTATTAAAAAAATTCGAAACAATTATTCTGAAATAGTTTGGTGAAAAAAAAATGTTTTTCTAGCTACAGAAATATCTATTATAAAATAGGAATGTGTAACCAGTGTTAGACAAGGGGATTTTGTTATATTCTGAATCTGGTATATATATATCGCAAATATGGAGAGATATGAAGGAGTCAAGTGAAATATAGATGATCATAAAGGATGCATTTATCACCGAAAGATTGACATACTTCTGTTATATGTGACTGGTTGTTTTCTAAGAGGCACAAACTGCACCGGAATCTATACAAACAATTGCATTATCCAATGGCTGAAGTTCGGCTTCTGAAGAATTATTCACTTTAGCTCCGTCGCGAATCAGCATTCGCTGTAGCCGGAGTAACTCACGCCAACCAGGAGAAAAACCAGTACTTTCTTCAGTTGGTGGACCTATTGGCTCTCGTACGTGAGACACATGAATACTATTGTTGCTAAGACAATCCAGACGACGTAGAAATGGTTTGCGAATGGGATCAACTTTGTCATCAGCAACATCCTTGGGATTGGTGGTATTGGGGACACTAAAAACAAAAATCAGAATGTTGTCACATGCTCAAAAGAACCATAAATGAAAAATAACGAATTCAGGTATACAAGACTTTATACTGTGACTATATATACGCATATAAAAATATTCAAGAGGCAGGTTTTTTGTGTAATCTCGTGAATTTAAAAACATTAGATAGATTACCGAATTTCGGCTCAAGTTTATAATTCATACATTCTGTTCGCAAACAAAAATAATCGATTGCCTGATGAGATATCGACTACTTTATTATTTGTGCCTGTGACCAAACCCTTATGGAGTGATATTAATTTTTTTTATTTTAGAGATTAAATCAGTGTGAAAATGGTTTTTATCGCGGGTCGACATCAGGTGGAAGAACCTCTGAAAACTTAGAAGCACTGGATAGTCATTTTATCTTATTTTGAGGCAGCACTTCAATAATGTTCTCCAAGAACCGTACTTGGGATCGTACCTACGACTTCTAGGTCCCATAGAGAGCGCACTATCTATAGATCACCGACTTGGAATCGAATGGTCAAGTCACATATAGAGCATCCATCATTCAATATCATAACCGAAGAAAACTATCACGTTAAATTTAATGAAAGCTCAGTGTAAACAACCATCATAACTAAAACCAATAGTCTCCATGCACAGGAATTCACTGTAAGTAGAATAAATAAATTAGTTTATGGCATGGATGACTTTTGAAACTAATATCATTAGAAAAAAAATTCAAACACGAAAACACTCCTATTAATAAAATGACATCTCACTGACAAAACTTATCATATAATGATCACCCGATAATATTTACATGATTTTGTGGTGTCTAATCGCTTTGAAAATCAAAGTGGAAAACTGTTGGTGAATCACTGATATATATTAGTCATCTGGTTTACCAATTAATCGTTTTTTTGGTCACATTCGTTCCTTTGCCTTTGTTGAGGATGTCAAATCCCCAGAACTTACTTGATAAATGGCTTAATTTTATAATTTTATTTTGAAAATTTGAATTTAGCTGTTTGCGCGCCGAAAGCGCTCTTTTCACCTTTAATTCATATTTCCCACTTGTAAACTATTTTAAACGATATTGGTCCATTGTTTCTTTGAATGTGCTATTTTATAATGATGGCCAAGGACAATTTGTTGCTGTATATATATACGTTTGACTTTTTCCCCTTATGATTGCTGTGCTTCTGGCTGCTACGGAATATATTTTCCCCGCTTCCAATTTTGGACTTCTTACTCTAGTTAACTGGGTCTGGGTCACGTCAGAATAGCTAGCTTATCGGTCTCTGGTCACGAGTCTCTGTTCCGTTCGCTACTAGTGAATTCGAAACGCTTCAGACATAACAGATTTTCATGAATATAATTTAAAAAATAGCACGATCATCAATAATGAGGGCAATTTGTATTGGGTACGGTGTTTTGATCTCTGTTATTATGACCCAACTAATCTTATTGCTTAGTATTCTTCATATACTTTACTTCACTAGATAAGTTCCTAAATTAGAAAACGGCTGAACAGGAACATAATTATATTCCAAATAAACAAGGTTGAATGGAAGTAGGAATTACAATGAGAAAAACGTTAGTATATTAATAATTTTCACACAATAATCTAGAGTCATTCCCAAGTATACCCTAGCGCTGACTGGCTAAGAAATAACCAATCAGCGTCTTCTAACATGATTCTGTACGGAAAATACTTTAATCCAATCTATAGTATTCCGCTAACACTACATCAAGAACAAATAATCCATATATCACTAATGCCTCATTTGACCATAATTTGTGTATTTTCGGCAACCTTGTTTACTTGTGGATTCAGGTTATGTGTCGGATAACGAAAATCTGACTATCTAAATATAACAAAATTATCGCAAGGGATCTGTTTCAAAAAAGATTATTTACGCATGAATTTGACATATTTTTTCAAGCTCTGAGAAGAAATGCATCTTTTTAAGCTTATTTAGTGGTTAACGGTGAAAGTAATCAAAACAAATACGGATAAGTACGTATAATATCATTTGAATGCTTAGGCTCTTACAACAATCCTGATTTGAGCAAGCGGTCGAAGATCAACAAACTTCGCAAAAGTGACCTCAAAGAAATGAACCAGTAACTCGTCACTGAGTTGCTTGAATTAATCGATGAGCAGTACTTACTGTAATACATGATTTGCAATGAAAGAAAAGATACGGCAATTGAGGAAACTTACGTCTTATGTTCGGGTTGGTTTTTATTTAGTTTTTTATTGCCATGACCTTGTATACAGAAAAAACATAATTACGATACTTTAATAAGAAGTGAAAGTATAATAATTGATAATAATAGCTTTCGAAATAGAACAGAACAGAACCATATTCATAAGCAATGTAAGGACTTGTGAAAAGTATCGGACCAAGTTACTACACCACACTGCGATTGAATTATCAAGATGTATATTGGTGTAGTAGTAATAGTAGTATCGGTGGTAGTTAAGAAATTACACATAGATAATGTTCCCAAAAACACGAATTCAGGCAATAAAAAGGGAAGTATAAGGTAATTTCAAACCTCAAATGAAGACAAAGAGTGGATGAATTTAGGGTACTAAATTCGACTCAGCACAAAGTTATACAATATCTCCAATCACTGATTACGACAATTCCGCATACCACAACCACATAGTCTGCACCTACCATAATGAATCAGATCAGGTAAGCAACTTCATGGAGATGATACAAATCCATAAATTTAGTAGTGTCAAAAGATAAAATCGAGCCATGTAGGTCGTTTCTAAATGATTATGCTGAAATCGACTATCACAAATTAGCAGCATTGCAAAATATAGACGTCGAGCTAAACAGACTAAGGTCTGACGACACCCGATGGCGAATGGTACGGTAGAGAGATTACGTCAGCAACTTAAAGCCCTTTTTACATCTGTTATTAGCAATAATGATTGGGCCAGCAAGCTCCCGTTAGTCATGTTGAGTTTAAGATCAACAATTAAACAATATATAGGATGTTGCCCAGCAGAGTTGGTTTATGGAACTACTCTACGTTTACCGGGAGAGTTTTTCACCTCAGATAAAAGTGTTCCAACTGATTTGGCCAACTATGTACAACGTCTAAAGCAGCATATGAGTAATTTAAGAGTAACCCTTCCGAGGCAACATGAACACCGGGTGTACATACCAAAACAACTGAGTGACAGTACCCAAGTGTTTATCAGAAGGGATAATGTGCAACGCCCCTTACAACCGGCCTACGATGGTCCACTTAAAGTGATTAGAAGAAATGATAAAATTATTATGGTAGATAAAGCCGGAAAAACGGATGTATTTAGCATCGACCGAGTCAAACCAGCTTTCATCGAAGCTGATGATCAGCCAGTACATACAGACCCTTTGAAAATCGTCGAACCACCGAAACGTGAGTTCCAATCATCGACATCGACGAAGAAAAAAAAAGAATCCGGTAAGGACAAGATATGGTCGAAGAGTAAGATGGCCCCAACGAAACATAGCTACGATTTCGAATTAATAATATTTTCCACCACCTCAGATGAAAATTTCTATCCTCTTCGTTGTATATGTGCACATCGAAAACTTTATCTATGATTATATTCAACATATTTTGTATGTTCCTATGTCAATTTATATAAACCTCTGGAAGCATTAACGCATTATTTTGATCTGTTATCTTATCTGACTTCATGGACGTACACAAACTCAAGCCTACACGCATTTGTAATAACTTAAACGATAGTTCTATCATACATCTTAATTTCATAAATTTTGATATTTACCGTCCTGTTAAATTCAATACTTTTTTGCCAAACACACTGTTTTGTATCTTCGTTTACTGGGGGGGAGCTATTATAGCAGCTCATGTACTATTGAGTTTTTTCACATCTAGTTTGGTTAAGCCCTTTTGTTAACTTATTTAATGGACAGAGACGTTAGTGCAATAACAACCTATCTATACCATTGTACCTTTATTATGTACGCTTGAGCATTGTTTACTGCCTACGCATATATTCATTTTGCTAGCCTTACTACTAATAGCTTAATTGATTCGATGATTCATTCATTACGTTATGTATGCATATGTACATTTTAATCCTGTTGTTTACTGACTCGCTTGCTTTATAGCACTACTCTTTCATGCTTGCTTAACGTACTTGTAATTTTGAATATCTATGCGTGGTTCAATAATAAACGCAATCAACACCTTGTATTCGCCTTCTGATTTATAAGCCGTTGGGGCGTTATCTAGTCGCGGTTATCAGGACGAACAATAGACAAAGTTCAAGGATAATATCGAATATCGACCACCACATACGTCTCGGTTCAACCAATTCCCAACATTTTTCAAACCTACTCCAACATCAGCCAATATTACCCATCGAGGTAGGCAATGGTCAAGCACACGTAGAATATGCCCTAATCATCTCAATTGATCAATACTTAGTCTTACTAACCGATTTGCCTAGAACCCTACACTTATCCTCAATATTCTTTATTTAATTTTTCTACCATATGAGACCAGTGCCTAGGAATACATCTGTAGCCAAGTAATTGCAAACTCCACGTCTCCTGCTTTACAGACATAGTAATGTACAGAGAACTGCTGCACAGTGTACTTCCTCTTTGGTTGGCGGATTGTCATTTTATCTCCACAAAAAGGTAACACCAGTTAACGAAAGCTGAGTGAACTTTCTGACCTGACTAGACATCAACCATCTATCAGAGTTGAAAGACTTCCAAGATAACTGTATGCAGCGAACAACAGTATATGTAGAAAATTCGCTTACATGGGTAAAACGATACAAAAAACTTTCGTGAAAGAACAGATTATATGGTTGAATTTTACCTTACAAAGGCCAATAATGTGAATTTTGCGAGGGGTTTGAAACTGTTTTCTTGTTAAGACTACATTTTAAAGGGTCAGGCTTAGAAAGTCAAAAGGTACATATAAACACTAATGTAAAACGTTGTTGGGAGGTGCAAGCAATTCTAATTGCAATTTTTAAGAAGTCTCGGAAGTACGGTCAGTACTTACTATCATTTTAAAGTGGGTCAACAACAAACACCGAGTTTAGACAGTTTGATGTTTAGTAGCAGTAGCAAATGAGATCAATTCCGAAATGATCGGTTTCATTGTCAGAAACTCGCTAACCACTAAATTGTGAGATGAATCTGATGTGCCCAGTAGCATAACTACGATTCCAATGATAGTTTGTTAAGTTCATGCTATTAATGAAAGACTGTAATTTGACCTATTTTAATGAAGAGGGTGAACACTAAACATTAGATGGTGACTTCACTAAGAGTGAGTGCAGATCGGAAATGTCTCGATCACCATTAAATTGGGAAAAACAACTTTTGATGGAAATCTGATTGCTAATAAAAACAACTTATATTCGTATCTAAACATTCAACGTTAAGAATTAGGCCAAGTGCATTTATTTGAGACTATTCAGATGACTGACGAACATATTTTTCTGCATCCTGCAAGGGATCTTATGGTATGTAACTAAGAATATTGAAAATATTTACCCTTTTAGTTATTTTACCACAAATCAAATACATGACTACCAACCACTACGTTAAAGCTCTTAATTATGATACACCCTACTGTGGTTTGAATGGTTAAATAGTCAGTTAAAAGCCGAGTAAATGAAATTGTACTGAGTACCATTAAGTGACTCAAATATGGAAAGACTTAACAGTGTACTTGTTAGTCAACCAACAATTTTTTATTAAAAAGCAATGTCAACATCATACAAACTAAGGAACTACATTTAAAAAGGAAGATTTGTAACTTACACAAAAGGTATGCATAGATTTTTCCCCAGTGAGAGCGAGATAAATTGATTGCTTTTAATGCATCAGGTCGATTAGGGAATTCAACAACAGCACAAATTTTGACACCGAGTTGACTATGTAGTATTTGTGAACGTTTAAGATCAGATGGTATCTTGCGGTTTGGAAACAGAACACGCACTAAAGATGGAGGATGGCCATTCGTCTGCAGAGTAAAATGAAAACAAAAGTAGAATATTTTATGATGTACGTTACACACTGAGCTATATTTTTCATATTACAGGGACTATTGTGCAATGATTATTGTGATCAAAAGCGAAGGATTTCGTATTAATCAAGACTTAGTTAACTGTTGTGACTTCAAGAAAATTCAGTATGTGTCCAAATTAAAGGGCTCAACCACCGAATCGCTGACCAACTCAATGGGCGAATTTCATTTTGATCCTGATGCCGGTGTCACATTTGAATCATTGTTCAAGAGATACTGAGACATTTTTCAAGTTGAGTTTTCACATCAAGATGACTCTTTGAAAGTGATAATTTTAATTCGTAGACTTGGAGCGGCTGAACATGAAAAGCATTCGAACATTACCTTGCCAAAAAAACATCGACTTCTCATTATATTGTGCAGAAGTCAACAGAAATTTGCATTAATCAGACTTTGTTGTTTAATTTGAGATATGATTGTCTTAGAACTGTTGATATTTGGAGGTAATTTTGTTTCATATGCAGCATTTGTTAATAAGCAATGAAAGAGTTCCACATTGCACCCACTTTTTGATGAACAACCCAAGTGTCTTATCTTTGTATTAGGGTTGTAGTCATCGTCAGACTCAAATATCCGTACTAGAATCGAGCAGAATCGAGTCAAATCCCAACGTTACGTTTAAAGATATTACAAATGAATGTCGTCATACTGTTAATCTTAAGAATGATACTAAAATGATCGAACATCCAAATCCCGATCCATTTCATTTACTGAAAATTCCTCATTCAGACCGCAGTATTAATGTCACAAAGCATGATTCACGAAGTTTTTCTCCTCTGAACCAAATCCATAATGTTCATGACTCTAGTTCACGTCGCTCGACAATGCCTCCAACTAGTTGTTGGAAGTGTGAGACATGGCATTTCTTCCGTTTCTGCCTATTCAATAAGCATGATTGACTCTCTAATTAGGCTTTTTTCTGATTGGCACTCCATATCACTGTTTCTGTTGTTTGGTTGGGAATACGTACTCTTAAACAGTGGATGATTTTAAGACATAAGGATATATAGAAATATATACATTAACTTTGGCGTGAAAACTGTGTACGGGCCGAAAGCAGGTTAAAGGTGGACTCATGCCCTAGAGAACTTTTGGAGGATTGGGAAACATAATCAACATAGAGTCTAGCACAGATTTGCTTTGGCCCAAGTTTGCTATCCGATCAGATGAAAACAAAAGGGATCGAAATTGTGTGATAGAACTAATAAAAACGAAGACGAAACATTGGGAACATAGTTTGGGAAGATAAGGTAGAAAGACACGTAAGAAGGGATACCAAAAGTTGAAATCGGCATCTAAACAGCGAATGCATCTGCGCCATTATAAGGGATTGAGCCATGCCAACCAAAGTGTCCAACCACTGGTAACAGTTATCTGGTCTACCCCAACCAGGTAGTTGCCCCCAAATGCCCTGGTATGGCCGAGAGTGGGGAGTTCCGCTCTCCCTCTCCAAATGCTCTCACATAGCCACGCGTATATAACCTCTCCCAGAGAACTCCTACTCGCTGTTTTCTCGTGGCGGGGGTGTTGTTTACCAAACTGAGAGGACGAAAGCGAATGTTCGGCGCTATAACCGGGTTGGTGGATACGAAAAGTCCACCTAGGGGAGTTGGAAAACCCTGATTCCAAATCAATGGTGCACTTGGATTCCAGTATCCTAGGGAAACAAATGGCGTATGAATCAATTGTTGGTCACCAGCTACCATGAGACTGCATCTCCTTACGATGCTCCACTGCCTTATGAATCAGACCTTTAGGTCAAAGGCTTCGGTTGTGGCCCCCTAAGAAGACCACCTGCTTCGGTTTGATCACCCAGGCAGTATCACAGCCCTCACACAAATCAAATGAGGCTTGTGTGGCGGATATGTATCTGGTGCCTGTTTGTACTAATATTTAAATAAATAACCATGGCAGTCTGAATCTACTACCATAGCTCAGACTAAAGGGTCACCACAAGATTGTTGGTTACCATAAGGGGAGTACGAATTACCGTTGGCCAAAGTGAGTTTTTTCATATGAATTATGGTGCTTAAAAGTGACTTTACACATTTGACCAGATTAAAACATCTTAGAGAACGCAGAAAGGATGTTTAAGAGACAAAAGTGAACTGCCTCTCAAGTACATGGTTACTGATAGTTTAACCAACCTTTAGTCAGTGTATTATACTTCTGGATAAACGTGGGCTTTACAGAGTAGATAGGTGCCTGAGAATCAAAAGTAATAAACGTCGATATCAGCAAGTTTTGACACACTAGACTTTACCGAAGCTGAAAAACTCCGGACTCGCCCTGTGTCTGATTAGGTGGGTTGAAGAGTTTTGTTAGTTGCTGAAAGTACATAGGCCAACTGAAAGTCCAAATTGATATATTGTTACAGGTCCAGGTTTCTGTTTACGAGGTGAGTTAAACTTCCTGAAAAAGTACAGAAAACCGCTAGACGCATTGATCAATCGCTTGAGAAGTCAGACCTTTCTGACTGCATCTTTATGATGGGATTAAACAAGCATAAAACCATGCTAAAAAGGCAACAAAATGGCCCTTAGTTTGTTCTCGAAACACCCAATTAGATTCGTGCTAAACGCTGGCCAGAAATAAATACCCAGAAACTAGAGGTACAACTGCAGTCTGAGATGTAGGTACACAATTATTATGGTAGTTACATCTTGAGACTCACTATCGACCGAAGTGATCTAAACAACATCCCCGGTGTACTTCAAAATAAAACCTGACGTATTAATAGGAACCAAGAGCTATTAGTTTGTCAATACCCCTATCGACATAATCATCATTAAAATTCTAAGACACAAAAGGGGTAATTAAACACTGCATTGTGATTACTTCGTGTCGTTGACTTACCGTGAAGAACTCTTGAATACTTTCTACTGTGACGTTTGAATTTTCTGGGAATTCCGACAATATGATGGTACGGTAGTAAACGGATTTGTCCCAAGTGGGCAAAGGATCAACGCGTCGAATTGTATTCCCATCTTCTGACACCTCAATTTTGGTTGATGCTGTCAGTGACTGACGAATAACGCTTAGGTCCGTCGTCAAAGACTGTAGTTTTTTAAAACTTGCAATTACTGAGAGATCCACCCATCCATCTTTTGATGACTTGACTAAATTTAGAAGGTACTGGTCTTTTAAAATATTTGCATCCGAGAAATAGAATTCACATTGTTTGATAATCTTTTCATTCATAAGCTCTGATTTCGGCTCACTGCATACAACAATATTTTCTTTATCGTGCAGTACCGGACAATCAGAAAACCCACTGGGACCCAACTCCATCAGATGGTATCCACTCCGCCAAACTTGGAAGGCCCGCCCAGTGCGAGGACTCAATACTATTAAGTAACGTCGAACCTCGTAATTTACAATGTGGAAATAACGAGATATTATTCGTTGTGGATCTGGGTGTGTATTGTGGAAGATAGGTTTTTGTTATGGAAAGGTAAACGTAGTGTTTTCTAATACTTAGTTTCAGTTTCAGTTTGGAAAGAACAGGAGGCTTGATGGCATGCGTTAGTCCTACCAATGATGGTCTCTCAGTTGATCCAACTTTCTTTTGAAAGAGTCGACGGATGAAGCCCCAACCACGTGCTGCGGTAATGAATTCCACTCGTTGATGATTCGATGGGAAAATCGGTAGTCAGCTGACAAGTAATTCGTTCTGGGCTTGTGAACTTTTTTGGAGTGTCCTCGTAGATTTTCTGTTTTGGAAGACAAGAAAAATGAGGGCATATCAGGTGCGAATTTATCACTAAACAATTTGAAAACTGTGATCAAGTCGCCTGTGATTCTTCGATATGACAGCGGGAATAGGTTTAGTTTGGTCAGTCTAGTATCATACGGGAGCTTCGCTGTTCAGGGAATCAGTTTAGTTGCTGTTCTCTGAATCCTTTCCAAGAGTTCACTGTCTTTTTAGGCAGGGGCTAGCCACTTGTATGCAGTACTCAAGTTTAGGACGCACGAACACTGTATACAAAGTAAAAGCGTTTCAGCGTCGATATGACTAAAAGCCCTAAGTATGGACCATAAAATTCAAAAACCTTTGGCGGTTATTGTACGGCAATGTGCAGTAGTTTTTAATTCTTGGCTAACGATGACTCCTAAGTCATTGTGTGTCTGAACAATAGGTAGCTCAGTGTTATTCATCGTGTATCTATCTGTACCTTGATGACCAATATGCATCACAATACACTTGGAAGTATTTATCGGCAACTGCCAGGTTTGGGACCATTCAGATAATTTACCCAGGTCGTTTTGGAGTTCCAAGCTATCATCCTTACTTTGTATCGTTCTCCATATCTTGACATTGTCAGCAAGACTGATGACGATAGTAGACGAGGTAGGTCATTTACGTACAAAAGGAATAACACTGGCCCCGAAACTGTACCCTGGGGGAGAACGAGTTTAGGCTGGAGACAGAACAATATATTTAATATGAATAAAAGGTATAGGCCACACAAGAACGATCACGCCTGCAAGGCGGAGCCATACCATTCGATGAATTTAAATTGATTGAATTGATCCTTCCCACCTTCCCCATTGATGGGTTTTTCTCTACGTTAGATGTTAAATATCTATTTCCCCAGTTGTCTCGTGTTCAACTTTGGGGGCTGCGTGGTTAGAACAAATACCACCATAAAGCCATCGTAGGGGATGTTTGGTTTGGATATTATTGTACATATGGTCAGATAAGTTCTGTTGACAAACTTCAAAAGACATCCAATGAAGATGGGTCACACTGACCCACATCTATCCTGCCTCTGCAATTACCCTAAGCAACGACTGTTTTGTACTCAGGTAAACAGAGTACAGAGATAAAAGCTCTTGGCATCAGGAATATGATAGCTTTACTCCTTTTCCTGATGTTTTTAACTGCCTCCTAGATTAAATCAACTCATCAACCATTATATACACTGACAAAACCACGGTATAAAGGTTAAAGTAAACTAAGAGGATTCACCTGAGATATAAAAAGATTTCACAGTGGGTTGAAATTTAACGTCATAATGTTGCATTATGGACACAGCTCCATGAGACACAAACAATGTATGTCCTCTGTGATATTCTACATTTTTCTTCTTACAGTTCGTTCTGGAACTGTTAACTACGGAGATCATAGATACCGACCAAAAGTGTATTGAGAATTCAGCTAAAATAAATGCGACTCTTTACTTTATACAAGTACCACTTGATGTCATCACTCCAGAATTGTTTTGAAACTTTAGAACGTACCCACAGTATCAATTCAAAGTCCACAAAGTTAACGAGCTTCATCCCTCGAAAAAGGACCAAGATCTCCCAGACAGATAGGTCTGGGAGACAAATCCTGCTAACATAGTCTCCGATGCAGGATTACATTGACCAGGTTATTGGAAGACAACACGTTGTTTGATAATTGCATACAATTTACCAAGAACTTCAATTCTCCTCCGTACCAGAACCTCACCACCGCATTCCACGAGACAATTTAAAAAAATCTCATATGGATTTCTGAGAAGCATGATATCACCTTCTTATTTGCGGTCGAATCCTCTCCCAACAGAAGTGACAACAGTCTCCACACTGTACACTTTCAAATATGTCACAGGTATTCGGAGTTTGACAACGCCCTTACGCTTAACATTTTTATAACCGAAGGATACAAACGCAGTCAAGTAAGAAGTATGAAATGAGCGGGTTCAACGATCCGTCAAATGGAATATCAGTCCATTCGTTCAGATATACTTTGTACTCTTCAGAATATTTCACTGTTGCATCTCATCCACGTCTCAGACTAGATCCATTCGCTCTAAAATGCTTTTAGTATGTTGGTGGTGCTACTTATTTTTGCAGTGCAACATTTTTAGTTTATAGTTGTTATTAAGGAGACCTATAAAGCGCTTGATGTGAACTATTAACTTGGGAAACGCATACGTTGAGATTATTCCAGATGTCAGATATTCCGCATTTTTGCCGTGAGTGTAAAACTTAAGAAAATAGAAACAGAGGAGCAGCAAGACATTTGGTTATGAATGATAAATAATCTCTAAAATTCAGTAGTGGAACAGAGAGAGGCATGATAAATTATAAGATTAAATTCATAGCAGCTCTCGTTGCCAGGGTGAAATGTGATCAGGGGCTTCAGATGAGAGGATGGAATAATAAAGAATGAGTGACTCACAGTAAGTCGCGAAAGGTCGGAAATAAAACTTTTCTACTGATTGTGATATAACATAAATATATTTTCTATATTATTCAATTTGAAGCCCAAACGTAATCTTCAGAATTCGCCGCCCACCACAATACAACGTGTTAGTATACACAATAGTTTGAAATCAACATTAGGTCCTATAGATTAGTTGGTCACATTGCCGTAAGCCTACAATGTTACATTATGGCTTTTAATCTTGTGGAAAAAATAGGTGCACTTATAAAAATAATAATGAGTAATATATGAGAATCTACAAATAAAAAAATTAAATATTGAATCTTAGCTAAATGATATGCCTTATATATATATATGCTGTGATTTTTCTTAGGGTTTAACAGAAAATCCTATCTGATATAAAAAAACATAAGCTCGAGAGAGATTAGGGGACGATTTACACTAATATAGATTACTTTGACACGGTTTTCACCTCAGGATCTCCCGTAGTACAAAGTTTACAGGATTGAAAAAAGAGTTTGGGATGATGTTCATGTCTCAGGTTAAAATTAGCAGTTTGACACTTAGGATTAAATATGAGATTATAGATTTATGGTCCTGTTCGGTATTAGTGTATTTATCTTTATTACTGTAATAATAGACCTAATTCCAACACTGTAGGTGTGTCATGATGCGACTATCTAATCTATAAAATTTTACGCAAAAGTCACATCATTGTCTATACTTATTGGTCATATCGTGAGAAACAGCAATATGGTGTCTAGTGCTTCTTAAAAACACATTTGAACTGGCGATACAATCACATATTCTATGTGGAAAAGTGTAAGTTGAGAGAATAACCACGTCCGAAAAGGTGAGCGACGTCAAACCGATATATTGTTCCTGCGTTCACCATTTTCATCTCTAATTGTTACATGTTGAATGTAAATCTTCAAGGTAATTATAAACTCGGTTTCAAAGATCATGTGTTGTAAAATCAATACCACTACAATACTATTAACAACAGAACATCCTTTAAAAAGAGACAAGAACTCATTCATTCCAAGTGGACGTCAGGAGGTAAAGTTGGCGAACGTGAAATGAGGTATGGGCTTAACAAGCAACAGGTGTAGAAGCATTTTTTTCTCAACGCACATAAAGAACAAGCAATCGCATGATAGTAGACAAGTCTTGGGTGAATTCAACCATGATGTTATTGTCCCTCTATGCTGGAATTGACTATCGTTGGTTGAAAATTCAGGAGTAAGAACCAGACTGCCTACATTATTATTGTGAGCAACATGGAGGAATTGGATGACATTGGTCCCAAAATAATACGCCAGTGCAAAATCTCTGGAATCCTATGACTTCTGCCTCAAATAGATTCTTAAACTTTAGAATAGTATTGATATTATGAAGCTTACATATATGGTTCAATGAATAGCTTCAATCTGTATGCTGACTTTAGTAAAATGCTGAATACTGAATCTTACTTCGAAGCCACATGACACAAAGACGCACTGCTTCGGGCTTTCTTCACCCCCCAGTGGAGTTTTATGCTTCTATAAAATACTTGTAAAACAGATAGCATGTTGCCATACAAACGACCTATTTAGATATGAAGGGAATTGAATAGTAATAAGTACAAGTGGAAATCAACAGATTTATAAGCTTGCAGTGACCTGCTTTTCTCGATGAGAATGCGGTTGGTATAACGGAAACAGTTATTATTATAACCAATTGTACCATAGATTGTTTTACTGCACTCGTTTTTGTTTAACTGTATCAAAATCGCTTCTCACTCCGCCGTCCATCTTGTTCGTTCGAACATTCTTAGGCGTTACTCCTCTTGCCCGTGATTTTTGGCACGTCTCGGTATTCATTCGATACCAGGAGATTGCCAATAAATATACTTTATCTGGACCAGTTACAGCCTTCTGGTTTACGAGCTAGCGAAGGAACCAAGTCGTTTTCCGGCGCGTAATCTTATTGTAGTGGTGATCATAGTCAATCGAGACTCGATGCCATCTACAAGCTAGTTACGTAGCATTTAATGTATCATCCGGATTCGTTGTGATTGATCTTGACTATTTATTAATGACCGTTTAGCTTTCGGATATATGTAGCGGTAAATTAATCTTTAAGATCAATAACTCCTTAAGTGTTCGACATTGGATTCTGACCACATCAGTTTTA